TGAATTTAGAGCCAGGGCTGATGCAGAAGACAGGGACCAGAAACACAAAGTGACAGATTATTCTTTCAGTCAATGATCAACATTTCAGGGAACTTGAAACAATACCAAATATGGATTGGTTGAAGTAACATCTGTGACCAGTGGAAAGAACACAGTACCAAGAGTTGGGCTACCTGGGTTCATGGGTCTGCCGTTAATTAGCAATGGGCCCTGGGCAATTCACTTCACCATCCTGGACTTCAATATTCTCTTTCAAAAAATGAGGGTGTTGGGCTGAATAATGTGTAAGGCCTCTTGTGACTCTATTAATCTATGAATCTATAAACATAGACTGTTTAGGCTAGAGAAAAGAAGATGCATTTGTAGACAGCTAGCATGCCTGACTATCTTAGGGGCTGCCTTACAGAAAAGAGATTAGATCTGTTCTTTTTTGACCCAGACTGGAAAACTAGGTGCAATTTTCAGGGAAAAAACTAAGCAAGACATGCAAAGACTAAAGAAGAAGCAGCCGGGTGTTGTGAAAAGAGCCATGGAGTTTAGAGTCAGACTGGGAAGACATGGATGGAAATTCTACTACTTTTACTCTAAGAAACAAACCTTGTGCAAATCAGTTTCCCTTCCTCTGAGGCCTCAGGTTTCTCATCTTAAAAATGGGAATAATAATAATAATAATAATACTAGCATTATCTACTCTGGAGAGCTGTTGTAAGACTTGCCAATGTGATGTGTTTTTTCGAAAATGCTACAAAGATAGGAACTTTTTTTCTTAACAAAGATGGCAGATACCATTCTCAAGACACTCATGATTCTCACTCCACCCACTTTCCTTTTATAGTAAAAATGTGGGTAAAAGCATGGTTGGGAGGAGGGAGGGAGTATTTGAGAAAATATGGTATGTATGAATCCATCCAGCTTTTCTTAACAATGATGGGGTGACACAACTGAGAAAAGGCATTTTTAGTATAAACCAAGGACATCTGGACCCTGGCAGGGTTACAACAATTATGTCGTTGGATTCCTCTCTCTCTGGAAAGAGAGATGTTGAGAGTCTTTCCAGGGAAAAGGAAGCTCATTTTTCTGTGTTCTTGATTTCTTCCATGACTCTCTTTGCTTCTCTATTTTCTGTCTGTTTATTAAAATTGTCAAGGAAAAGGAGGTACTTTTCAGGGGCCACTTCTGCCAGATTTAGGGCTAGAATGTTTCAGGGTTAAGAGGCCATGGCCTGGTTCTGAGGACGCTTGCTATCTAATAAAGAACACACCTTAATCATTGATTAACATGGAAGATCATCGATTTAGGCATGCAATGGGTCTTAGAGGCCACTTAGTCTAGCTTCCTTATTTGGCAGATGAATAAACTGAGTTACAGAGAAATTAAATAACTTGCTTGATTCATACAATGAATAGTATGAAAGAGTCCTGGCCTAAGAGTCAGAAGCCCATGATTTGAGTAAGTCCTTTGCTACTGTCTTACAGTGAGACTCATTTCAGGACTCACTGTGAGGCTGTTTTCTCCCCTCTCTGGGCCTCAGTATCTTCCTGTGTAAAATGAGGAGGGTAGACTATATGGTCCCTAAGATCCTATATAATTCGGATATTCTCTCTTTTTTGTTTGAGGTTCTTCCACTCTCTTCCCCTCCAACCTGTTCTCTGGCCTAGGCTCTAGTCTCAGAGTTTTGTATTGGACTCGGGGCTGGGCCAGTCAATATCAGTCCCTCAGTCACAGAAATTTTGCCTCTGGCTTCAGTCTGTGTTCTGTGGGTTGCTGGCCTTGCGGCCAGGGCCCCGCTCAGAGCTTGTCCCCCTGGGAGGAAGTTGAGAGCGTGTGAGGACTGTGATCCCGAGTCTCTGGGCAAGGGTAAGAGAACACAGAAGGAGGCAGGAGCTGTGGGAATGAGCAGCTGAGAAGCAGTATGAACATCAGTAAGCACACCATTGACCCATCTTCCCATCTCACTCTCCTCTGAGCACCTCCCTCCTCTCGTTGTTCCAGGATTTTTGCCAGGCTTTCCTTCCCACCCATTCACTTTTGCTATGAAGTAAAGCTACTTCTTTTCTATCTTCCTTTACATGCCATATGGGCCACATGTGAATATATTTGTGCAGTCATATAGCTCTGTGACAAGACAAAAAATGCATGTGAGGCTACACTTTGGGTAGGGGGAGCTTCTGGTAGACTGTGGGTATAAGGGGATTATTGAATCTTAGAGCTGTAAGGGGTCTTAGAGGTCATCAAATTATTTCTAAGTAGGAATCCTTTCAACAATGTCCCCCACAAGTGGTCATACAGCCTCTGTTTGTAGACTTCCAGTTACAGGCAACTTCTTATCCTTCATTTCCCTTTGGAGCAGCTCTAATTGTTAGGAAGTATTTCCTTATATGAAGCTAAAACCTTGGTCTTCCTTCTGCTCATTGCTCTTACTTCTGCCCTCTGGGGCCAATATGAATGTCTAATCAAGGGGTGGGGAACCTGTGGCTTCGAGGCCACATGTGGCCCTCTAGGTCCTCAAGTACGGCCCTTTGACCGAAACCAAACTTCAAAGAACAAATGAAGTTTGGATTCAGTCCAATGACTGCACTTGAGGATCTAGAGGGCCACAGGTTCCCCATCTCTGGCTAATCCCTCTTCCCCATAGCAACCCTTTAAATATTTGAAGCCATTTTTCATGTCTCCTTAAAAAGTCTTTTGTTTTCTAGGCCAAACATTCCCACTTCTTTTAATGATTCCTTGTATTCTCCTAGTCTCTCTCTCATGAATACATATATAAGGACAAATAGGATGGAAAATATTTGAGAGCCTGTAGGGTGGAAATTCTTAACCTTTTTTTGTGTCATGGTGGACCTTTTTGGCAGTTGGCTGAAGATGATGGACCCCTTCTCAGAATAATGATTTTAAATGCACAAAATAAGATACATGGGATAACAAAGGAAAACAATTATAGCTATCTGTCTATCCATCTATCTATCTGTCTATCTATCTATCTATCTATCTATCTATCTATCTATCTATTTATCTTAATATATACAAAGTTCATGGACCCCAAGTTAAGAACACCTGCAGTAAGCGGACTATATGTGAGGGAATATAGATTAGCGATCCTAAGGCCCTGACCTGACCCTTATGATAATGTAAGATCCTTGCTAGCAGGCATTGTGCCATCTTTTTTTTTATCCCCATCTTCTAGCACATATCCTCCATGAAGCAGAAGTTTAATACAATTATTTTGTTGTTGGATGTATGAATGAATTCATAATATCCCTCTGTAAGTGTCTATCTCTGATTCCCAGGACTCAAATTGACCATCCCTTGGCCTATGATTATTACGTTTTATTTATATGTTATTTATTTATGTATTATGATATTATAATATTATTATGAATATTATGATTACTATGTTCATTAAATAACTGATGCTGTCTATTGTATTGTCTAAGATTGAATTTCCATGCAACTCTAAAATTCTGTGCTTCTCTAATTTTGTGATTGTGTGTCAGTCCAGAAGAGGACTCAGTGAGGGGACAGTTCTGCACCCCAAAATTCACAGCATTCTTGCCCATTCCCATTGTGATAAACAGCAGGATTCTCAAGAACCAGAAAGGAGCAAGGTCAACTGACTAGCCTATGTGGAGATGAAGCCAACATCTCTGGCTTCCTCAGTACCACACTTGTAACCAATGAGCTTCCAAACACAATACTACTAACCATTTGCAGACACTGTTCAGAGCAGTAGAAACTGCATCCCATCTGACTAACAGATGTGGCCAAAGTTACAGCCTTTGGGCTTTTTGGAAACAAGTAATATTGAGGACATGTGTAATGACTAAGAAGATAGGATATAATTTTATTTCTTTTTTTTCATATGTAATTTTATTTCCCAGGAACAGAGTTGGGCTGTTCCCTTTTATCCATTCTGTCTTAGCCACAGCAGTGTGATATAATGGATAGAGTGCTTGGGAAGAAGAAATGTAGGTTCTAGTCATGACTCTTCTAGGAACTCACTGTATGATAGGATATGAGTCACTTACCTTTTCTGGGCCTCAGTTTCCTCTTGTGTAAAATAAGAAAGTTGTATGAGATGACCTCTAAGGTCCTTTCCAACTTGGCTATCATGAATTTTAGAGTCCCATCCAGCTCTAATAATTGTGTATTTTAAGATCCCTTCCAGCTCTGATATCCTATGTTCTAAGGTCCCTCTTAGCTTTGACATTCTCTGCTTCTCATTCTGTCCCAGATTCTGGCCCCAGGCCACAGATCCTTCTTTCTCTCTTAGCTTGGTAGGTCTGTTTTACATTTAGAGCACCTCGTTTAGACAAGACTGTCTTCTGGTCACACTAGCGGTTTATTTCCAGCCTGCCAGAGACAATGTTGTGGGCCTCAGAAGGAAGGGCAAGGGAGGATCTCTGAAACTTCCTGGGAAACCCAGTTTTCATTCCCTAATTCAGTTCTCTGGATTTCTGGCCTAGGCCTGAGAGTGCTGTTGGGAAGGAAGCCCAAGACTTTACAGGGCCCTAAGTGAAATATCAGGGCTTGGGCTTGAGTTGGAGTAGATAGAACACTTGGGAGGAAACTGGGGGGAAAAGAAAGGCAGGGGTGGGCCGGTGGAGATGTTAAAAGAAAACTATTTTATCTTTAGTTTAATCACTTTTGACTGAAGTCTGAGCAAAGTCAGTGACAATGACCCAGGTCCCATCTGTGCTCAGGCCTCATTTCCTCTAGCAACTGAAACTAGACCAGAGCCAAGACTATGAATTCCAAAGACTGTTGAATTAAGAGATGGGAAGTACCTTAGAACTCATTCTAGACAACCCCTCATTTTCACAGAGAAGAAAACTAGATCCCACAGAGGTAAAATAATTGCAAGGCCACTTAGCTAATAAGTAGCAGAGTTCAGGTTAAAAACCAGATCTTTTGACTATAAATCCAGTGCTCTTCCCAGGACTTCAAAATGACAGTTGACTTTACCATTACCTGATAGAGTATTATTTCTTTGTTTCTTTCAGGAGGAATCACTGGAAACAAGAGAAACTGTCACCTGTTGGGGGCACATTGGGAAGACCTAGACCTTCCACAGAGAACCCACTTGTCTGATGATCCTTAAGAAGGTTAGGAGTGACTATTATCATGCCTGGCCCAGGATACCACCCCAATCTATGGCACCAGTCACCTCCTAGCCAAGGCAGCTAGGTGGTACAATAGACAGAATGCTGGGCCCAGAATAAAGAAGGCTCATCTTCGTGAGTTCAAATCCAGTCTCACACAGTTAACTAGCTGGGTGACCCTGGGCAAATCACCTAACCCTGTTTGCCTCAGTTTCCTCATCTGTACAAATGATCTGGAGAAGGAAATGGCAAACCACTCCAGTATTTTTGTCAAGAAAACCCAAACGGGGTTGCGAAGAGTCAAATATGACTGAAATGACTGAACATGAACATGACGAGAGTATCCAACCAGATGAGGGTAGAGTGGTAGGGACACTGGAGGGACTTGCAGTTAGAGATGCTGGGAGTATTTCACTTGCAGGGTGAGGTAGAAGTTTTAGAATCTGAGGGTTGTGTCTAAAAAGAAGAAGGAAGAGAAGGAAGACCAATCAGGATAGGCAGATAAGACCAACGTCAAGTTCCTAGCAGTTGTCAACGCAGAGACTGTGGTTTAGAAAGGCAATCATGGAATATTAGAGCTAGAAGGCATCTTTTTTTGTGAGGCATTCATGGTTAAGTGATTTGCCCAGGGTCACACAGTTACTAAGTCAGATTTGAACTAAGGTCCTCCTAACTCCAGGACTAGTGGTCTATCCACTGTGCCACCTAACGGCCCCTAGAAGGCATCTTAAAGGTCATCTAATCTAACTCTCATTTTACAGAGAAGGAAAGAGAGTCTTCAAGAAATGACTTGACCAAGATCTCATAGATAACTAAGTGACATAGCAAGGACTAGGTAGGATTTGGATCTTCTGACTCATAGTCTAGGGTTCTTTCTGTTACACCACAGTGCCGCTATTTGATCTATAGAGCAAAAGGAAAGAGACAGAGAGGAAGGGGAGAAGGTAGGAAGCAAGAGCAGGTATTAGACCTAGTGTCTTAGTTAGGGATCACAGAATCACAAATTTGGAAGGGACCCCAGAGCCCATCTAGTTCAATCCATGCCTGAAGGATTCTCCCTACAATACACACAATACCATTTCCTTTGAAAAGGAATCGGCCATCTTGCCTTAGCCTGAAGACCTTGAATACCCTTGCCTCTTGAGGTGGCCCATTCTCTTTATTCTTTTTTCTAATTATTGGGAAGTTTTTCATGACATGAAGCCCTTTTGTCTCTTTTTGACGTCCCTTTGCTTCTCATTCTTCCATTTGGGTCCAAGCAGAATGAGTCTGATCCCTCTTTCAGGTGATAACCCTTGAAATAGTCTATTGAACATGGCTGTCATATCTCCTAATTCAGCCCTTCTCCAGGCTACATATTCCTAGTTTACCCCACTAATCTTCATGTGGCCTGGCTTTGAGACTGTTTAAAAGAACTTATTTTCATAAGAGGACTAGAAAATCTAAGTTGCCTTATGTATGCTCTGTACACATGCAATTATGATAGACACTATTTTTTTTTAGTACTATTAAGTCTTACAAAGCACTTTCCTCAAAATAACCCTGGAGGTAAGGCACAAACCATCAGCATATATGTGCAAATGTGCAAAACGTGCACATATAATATAGACAATGGAATGCACACATGCATTCACAATGATCACGTACACTCAATGCATGAAAATGCATGCACATAGCTCACACATGTATGCATGCTTCTACAGGTCATATACATACAATGTGCAGGCTCACATGCACACATGCACATATACACAAATATATACACAAATTCACTTAGGCACATATATATACATATGCACTCGTACATTTTGTAAAAGAGCAAATAAAATTATTTAAATTTACTGGATCATGGGTAGTAATCCAAGCATTGGATTACTGTGTAGGCTTCCCTATAAAGTAAAGAGACAGGCTGTCTCCCCCAGCTCAGCAGGCCAGACAGAGCCATCTGCTTTCTCTCCCACTGTCTATTGCTGGCTCCACCCCTGGGGAGGTAGGCTGCAGAGTCCCAGGAGCGGGACACAGGGCGACAGATGTTCTATCTCTTGAGGTTTCTCAGCTGCCTGGAGAGCACACAGGATGTTAAGACCGGTCCATGGAACATTTCTGAGTTTGTTTTCTTCCTGTTACATTCTCGCCACCCCTCCCTCTGCCTTAAACAGCCTCTCTCTCTACCTCTGTCAAGTCTATCCCCCACTTTTCTCTCCACCCCTTCCATCCCTCATCCTTTTCCAAGTTCACTTTGACTGAAGCAGTTATACCTCACTGACAGAGAGAAACATCGGTCAGAGAAGCTGTCTGGCCTCGTCTGGAGTCTTTGTCCCAGGTCACGAGGTACTTCCATTGGATTCTGACTCCGTCACGTAAGTGAGCTCATTGGGAGGGTCTAGTTCAGGAGTAAGGAAGAAAGAATGGTGTCAGCCAAGCTGGCCCTTTCAGGTTGGAAGGAAGAAATGTATTCAGGTCATGTGAGTAACAGTTCCCTTCCACACTGAGCCCAGGGGCCCTGAGACTCTCTTAGTGGGGAATTAATATTATTCTCTGATCTGTCCTCTCACGCTGGTTCCTGAGGTCCTGATGACCTTGGTGATAATTTAGTAGAAAGGCAGTGTGGTTTTATGGAAATGGAGCTAGATTTGGAGTCAGGAGACTTGGCTTTGGATCCTAGCTCTGACATTTATTAGCTGTATAACCATGGGCAAGTTATTTACCTTCTCTGAGCCTCAGTCTCTTTGTCTGTAAAATGAAGATAATAGAATCATGGACCTTTTAGAGCTGAAATGTATCATAGGATCATAGGTCCACAGGTGGAAGGGGCCTTAGGGGTCATTTAGTCTAATCTTCTAAGTTTACAGATGAGGAATCTGGGATCCAGGGAAGTTTAGTTGTTTTTGTTCAGCCTTCATTTTTTTCTTTTCTTTTTTTTTTCTTTTCTTTTCTTTTCTTTTCTTTTTTTTTGGCTTTTTGGTGAGGTAATTGGGGTTAAGTGACTTGCCCAGGGTCACACAGTTAGTAAGTGTCAAGTTTTCTGAGGCCGGATTTGAACTCAGGTGGTCCTGACTCACAGCCTTCATTTTCAAAGAGGACCAATGACATCCCTGATGATTTCTTGAATCGCGCATGAACTGGATTAAAATGAGGCAGAGCTGCACAAAGTCATCAGCCTCACTCTTTCATCTGGAGTCATTGAAGTCCAATGGCAGGACAAAAGTAAGTATGACTGGTGATGGCCTAGGATACAGTGGATGATCTTGGCATCTTTGATATTTAACCAGGCTCTAGCTAATCCATAGTTCCTGCTTCAGCCACCTTCATGGCTTTTGGAATAAATTGTTCTCATCCACCCATTCCGCTGAAGGAAATCTTCACATGCTTGGGGTAGACACCCCCCTAACTCACTGATGATTCGAGGCCCATCAGTTACCCTCAACCTGGTTTAGCCTGTCTACCAAGGTGATTTTACTGGGGTGTGGCCACTGCACACGCTTACAGCTTCTTAGAGCCACAGGTGGGAGTCAGGAAGTTTAGTAACTTATCCATAGTCATACAGGTAGGAAGTGGCCAGAGCTAAGATTTGAACTCAGGTCTTGGGACTCCAATTTCAACACTAATTCATACCACTACCCTGCATCTCAGAGGTCATATAGTCCAGTCCTCCTGTTTTACAGATGAAGAAAATGAGGTTGAGGGTTAGTGACTCACCCAAGTTCAGTGGTAGAGCCTGGACAAGAATCAGATATCCTGAATTCCACTACTTCACAGAACTGTTAAGGTTTGTAAAATGTAGAGTGCTATAAAACTCAAGGCACTATGTAAATGTCGTTTATCATTTTACCTCTTTGTTTTATACAGAGGGAAAGTAATTTGGCTAAGGTCACACAGAAAGTTAGTGGCAAAAGCCAGGATGAGAATCATAGAACATAAAATCATAGAGGGAGAAGGGAAATGACCCTCAAGGATCATCTTTGCCAACTCCTTTTCAAATCCATGTTCTTTATATCAGACCACACTGCCTCCCAAAGATGGCAAGTGTGCCTAACAGCTGGTTAGTTTCTCCCAGCTGGCCAGGGAACACAAAGGATCCTAAAGACACTGCTAGTTCTCCCCGAAATCTGAGGATTTAATTCTTCCTTCACAAAGTACTTACTCTTTCAGACCTTTCCTATACCCCCAAACTCAAAAAGATATTTTTTCCAGCCTTCCATGCCCTAAATTGGACCCCAGTCTTGGGTGCCACTAGAAATGGAGAATGTTAGAGCTGAGGGCTGAGAGGGGAGAGGTCTTAAGGATCATTTATTCCAAACTTTTATTTTATAAAATGCCCAGAGAGGGGTAAAGACTTACCCAACATCACACAACATCCAAAGTAGATCCCAAGCCTCCAGACCAAGGTTCTTTCTGTTATTCCAGGCTATATCCCTGGTGTCCCTCATTAGTGTAAGTCAATATTATGAAATAATACAGTGGAAAGGTCACTGGATATGGAGTCAGATGACCTGGGCTCCAATGCTAGTCCTGCTACTTACCTCCTCTGTGATCATGCGACAAGTCACTTCACTTTTTGGGGCCTCAGTTTCTCCATCTGTAATACGAGAGAGAAAGACAAGATGACCTCTAAGGTCCCTTCCATGGTACAACACAATTCATCCTCAGAGAAAAGCTTTCTTTAAATACTCCTGAGAATAGCTCAGTAGTCCCCTTTAATTGGAGTTGATTAACAGGACCCCCTTCCCCCTCTTCCTACTTTTCCTTCTCAAGGTGTAATGAGAAGAGCAGAAATCTGGGAGATAAGAGCTAGGTGGGAGTTCTGGCTGTACCTTTAACTAGTTTTGTGACTTTGGGCAACTCACTTTTCTTGTGACCTCAGTTTCCCGAAAGTGAGGATAACAATGTTTAAAAGACCTAGGGGTTGATATAAGAAAAGCTAAACATTACCCTGAAAGTACTGTTAAAATGGAAATAATTATTTATGAGCCATAAAGGGAATGGTCATTAAATTCTTCCAACTTTGAGGCCGCTGAGAATGACGCGAGGGAGGGGAGCCAGGTGACAGGCAGCAGGCCCTCAGCACCCCTCCCAGCCTTCAGCGAAGCCGGCTTGGGCCTGCATGGCCATATAAGGGAAGGAACCTAGGCTGAAGTGGGGCTAGGAGGGGTTGGGGGTGGGAAGGCCTTGCTCAGGACAGAGATGGAGAAAACCCAGACATCCACTGTTTATTTTCTCCCTGTGCACTTCCTCTTGGCTTACGGAGCACAGGTCAGAGACCCAGCGTCTCCCCAAGAAAGGCTGCTCCTCATTTCCTAAAGGCTGGAGATAGAATGAAAAGTGTGTACATGTGAGTAGGAATTTGAGGGTGCTAGGGAAGGGTGGGGGGAACTGGGAGGGGGATGTTGCTCCTCCTCCCACTCCCATCAGGATTGCAGCAAACGCAGACTTAGGTTGAGACCCAGGGGCACAGCTGAGAGGCTGCTGCTGTTGGGCAGAACTGTCAGGTAAGATGTGTCTGCTTGGATATGATATGAATGAAGGGGTCTGTGATCAGATCAGGAAGCTGGCAGGGTGGGTGGGGCATGACACTCTTCTTCTCTCTGAGAATAATAACAGCAGAATATAAGCTCCCAGAGAGCAGGGCCTGCTTCGCTTTTGTCTTTAGATCCCGATACCTGGCACAGTGCCTGGCACCCAGTAGGCACTTACTAAATGCTTGCTGACTGGCAATGACATTCCCCATTTCCAGAGCACTTCATGGTATGCCAAGCACTTTCCTTACAGGTATGAGGGGGACACATGTGGAAAAGAAACTTTGACTAGGAAAGAGAAACCTTGGGTCAGAATTTTGCCTTTAACCCTTCCTAGCTGTGTGCCAGTCAGCAAATGATTTGGCCTTTCTGTGTCCTTATCTGTAAAATGGGGTCATTGTGAGGCAAGTGTTTTGTAAATCCTAAAGTGCTATAGAAATGTGTTTATTATCCCCATTTTGTAGAGGGTGAAACCGAGGCTCAGAGAGAAGAAGTGTTTTGCTCAAAGTGAAATAGCTAGCAAATGGAATAACTGGGACAAGAACCCAGGCCTCAACTTCAGGTCATTCTTTCAACTACCCTGCACTGTCCATCCATTTATTTTGTTTATTTTTAGAGGGGAATGAGAAGAAGTGGATGACCAGGACCATGGGACTCAGAACTTGAACAGGATGGAAACGACCACTTAAAGGTCCCATCAAGTAAGGGGAAAGTGAAGACTCAAAGCTTAGACCCCAGAGTCTGTGAAGATCTAAAAAGTAGACCTGGTCTCTCCTCAGTTGATCCCCCTGACTCCCCAAGACCAGGTGCCATATGTGTTCCCTGTCACTTGACAAGGAAAAACTTTCTTACAGTGATAACTCCTGACTCCCTGGAACCTTGGAAGAGTCCTCTCTGGCCTTCAGTCTCTTCTTCTATCGAAAGAGAAGATTGGACTAGTTGATCTACTACTTATTCTAGTGTTCTATTTTTATGAGGTTATAATCTAAGAATTGCACCATGTACAAATGGCACAAAATTGTACTATTGTCAACTGTTGCATGGCTCTTAATGGTGTAGACAAAAAGTATAGTGGGGTCAGAGAAGGTTCTCATGAGCCCTGCCTAATAAAAGTTTTTCCCATGTCATATGTAGGTCTCTCTCTAATTTCTCCCTTTGTTTCCTCTTTCTGGTGCCTTCAAGGGCCAGTTGGAATGGACTGACACATCTGGCTCGTCTGGATCGTCTTCCCCTCTCCTTTGTCTCCCAGCCCGAGGTGCAGTGCTGCATCTCTGGTCAGTTGTGAGTCTGAGATGAAGCACTGTAGCTCGGGAAGGGAGGAACTGTCCAGCTCAAGAGGAAGAAGTTGACTCTTTGGGAGCCTCTGTCTCTACCTGAGGCCAACAAGCCAAGCTGGGTAAGTAGGGGCTGGGGAGAGAGGGACAGGGAGAGGAGAACAGAGGCCTGGGTGCACACCTTATCTTAGCACTGGCAATGTGAGAAGGTTCTCCCATTCCTTATGCCCAGAGCTTTGAGTGAAGTCAGTTCCTAATGGGGCCCCACCTCCACGGCTCAGAACACACTTTAGTACCTGAGAAGATGACCGATTCAAATACTCTTTGGGCTTCTTCTGGACATTAGGGATCAGGTAGACACAAGAGCTGATTCTTCTTATTCATTCATTCTATTGTTCATGTGTTCAGTCTTTCAATAAATGTTGCCAGAGGCCACAGGTGTGAGGCCCTGGGTTTAGAGCCAGTGGGGGAACAGAGATGAATGAGACATTATCTTTGTTCTCTTGGAGCTTGCATTTTAGTAGAACTGGTGAGAAAAATAGCCATAGTGCAGGTTAGTATGTGGATACTGCATAAAGAGGCAGTGGATAAGGATAGAGAGCCTCAGAACCAGAATATTTGGGTTGACATTCAGTGTCTGACATACTAGCTACATGCTTAGACAACTCTCGGTCTTCTAGTCAGCATTCTGTTAAGGCCAATGTCTCCCACTGCATCTGGAGCCATGTCCAATCAGTCTGATCTATATCTGGCCACTGGACCCAGATGGTTCTGGAGGAGAAAGTGAAACTGGTGACCTTGCACAGCCCTCCCTCATTTAAATCCAATTCACTTGCAAGTCATGGCATTACCTTCCTGATGTCATGGTCCTCTTCGAGAATGAAGGACAATTACTACCAATTACTACCTATACCTTACCTGTAGGGGGAGCTTCCTTATCCAATAGTTCCCTTTATCAATGAAATCACAGGTCCAGTCCCTATCCCATTATGTAAATGTCCTCAGACATGAACAACACATTCAGAAGAAGCAAAGACTGCTTGCTTTTGGGGACTTCACGGAGGAAGCATTATTTGAATTGCTCCTTGAAAGATGCTAGACATTCTGTAAACAGAAATGAATGGGGAAGACATTGCATGCTGAACCAAGGAACTAAGCAGATACACCGAAGTGGGTAGAGTCGGGGCCTGCTCAAGAAATGGTGAAGAGTCAGTCCAAATCAGGGGAGAACAGATTTGAAAGGTAAGGGATGGCAGATGTCAGGAACTTTTGAATCCTGAACTAAGAAATTTAGATTTTATTTATTTGTTTGATATGTATTGACTTTATTTTTAGGCAGTGGGGAGCCATTGAAGGTTTCTGAGCAGGACAGTGGTGTTGTGATCTGAGTTTTAGGAAGGTGACTTGAGTAGTGTGTATAGGATGGATTGAAAGAAGAGGCCCTGGAGGGAGAGAGGCCAATATGGAGGCCATTGTGTGAGAGTTTTGACCTTGGATGATGGCCATGAGCCCTGGAGAAAAATGTGAAAAACATTATAGAAGAGAACTGACAGAACTTAGAGACTGACGAGTTAGTAATTCCTCTCTTTTCCTCCTTGCCATGGCCAAAATGGACTTGAAGATCTCAAGAGGGGTGGAGGGAGAGACCAGGAAGGTTATGCTACCATTGAGAGAAATAGGAAAATCAGGTGGAGGACCAGTTTAGTGGAGAAGATGAGTTTGGTTCTGGATGGATTGAGATTGAGGTACAGGCAGAATGTTCAGGGACAGATCCCAGCATCTCTGGCCAGGTGAAAAGTTTAAGCCAGAGCAAGAGAGAGGCCCTTCACAAGTCAAGTGCCTTCAGACAGGGAGAGGGACTCTTATGATCAAAGCTGCAACTTCTAGAACCCCACCTGGAGAATTCCTCATGAAATTGGTCAGTTGTGAATCCCAATATATCCACTCTCCTCTGCCTCCCAGATAACTATCCAGTATAACAAAGGATAAAAAAGGAAGGGAAAAATAGTTCAGCAAACCTTACTATCTGTCAACTAAGTCCGATGTTATATGAAATATTCCACACCTATAGGTCCCCATTTGTGCAAAGAAGGGAAGAAGGGGCCTTCTCATAGCTTTTCTTTTGGAAGAAGAGATTAAAAATCATTATAATTTCAGAGCATTCAGTTTTTATTGTGTTGTTGTTCTTTCCACTTGTATTGTCGTAAATTGTTCATTGTTGTGCATATTGTTCTTCCAGTTCTGCTTACTTCATTTGCATCAGCTCACACGTCTTCCCTTACTTCTCTGTACTTATTACGTTCATCATTTCGTATAGCATAGTCATATCCCATTACATGCATGGGCTACAATTTGCTTAACCAGTCAATCAACGGACATCTACTTTAGATCCATTCCTTTGAACGCATACCAAATACGTTCCCTACTTCTTGACACTTTTAAATATCCCCATGAAATTGTTCTCAAGTATCCTCCTTTCCAGAGACCCTGACAATGGTAAGAAGCAGAGAAGGAATCTTCCCCTTTCTCTTTCCCCCTAAGCAACAGCAGCACCAGTCTCTCTCCCCTTACCAGCTTTTCAGTATCCTGATTTTTTAAGACTGGTGGCTGCTCTGGGATGCTCTGTGGTGAACGATCACTCTAGAATGCAGGGAACCTCCTGTTGGTACCCAACTATTGCCAAACTCTCAAGAGATAGAAGACAACAGCAGCACAACCTACAGGGAATGAATGGATCAATGTTTCTGTCAGCCCTCTGGTCTGAAGACCATACTCTCCCAACCTTGTCCTCAGGGTCCAGTTTTCCCAGGAATCCCTTAGGTGCTAAGATGGGGATTCCTGGAAATACTGTTCTTGAGGTCATGGCTTGACAGCCGGACCATGTCACCTTCGGCATCCCCTGCAGGAAGAAGTTTCAAAAACCAGTGTCTGAGTTGGCCACATGGGAGCCTTGTAGAGAAGAATATAAGGTGAAATCAATGGAGCCAGAGATTGGAGGTAAGGAGGTTTAGCAACTTGTCCTTGAAAATAAAGCAGCCCCAAATATTTTAGCAAGGCATGGTAGAAAGGGCACTGCATTTGGAGTCAGAAGATCTGGTTTTGAATTCCATCTCCACCTGGTGAATCACCTAACTTCTCTGGGACTCAATTTTCTCATCTATAAAATTAGGCAGTTGAAATGTTTAACTAAATGGCCTCTAAGGTCCCTTCCAGCTCTAAATGTTGTGATTCTATGCTTATATGTGCATAGACACAGCTTTATGGTTTCCAAGGCACTTTCCTCACAGGAACCTTGTAAGGTTGGTAGTACAGATGTTATCACCCCATTTTACAGATGAGGAAACAGGCTCAGAGAGGGGAAGGGACATTTAGTATCATTCTATTAGTTCAGTGGAGGGTAACCAAGATGATGAAGGGACTAGAAGCCATGTCATATGAGGATTGGTTGAAGCATCTGGGGATAGTTAGGCCATAGGAAAGAAAACTTAGGGTCTGTGCTTATTGTTTTAATGTATTTGAAGGAGAATCATGGGAAGAGGGATTAGCTCTATTCTGTTTGGTCCCAGCAATAGGGGGAAGTTGCAGAAAAGTAGCTTTTGGCTCAATAGAAGGAAAAATAGCTGAATGGTCAGAGTATGTCAGAGTTGAATGGGCCACCTCAGGAGATAGTGAACTTCTCATTATCAGAAGTTTTCAAGTGAAGGCTTGCATGTTGGGGATGGTATAGAAGGAGATCCTATCAAGATCCAGCTTAGGCTTGATGACCTATGAAGCTCATTTCCAGTTCTGAGATTCTGCAGTTCAACCCTTGACCTCATTACATTACATACAGGGACAGCAATTTTATCCTTGCTTAATCTCAGGCACCCAGCCAAAGGCTGGTCCAAAGGCACCCAGTGAGGTAGCAGTAAAACCAGGGCTAAGACCCTCACCTTCCTTATATGTCTCTAGGTCCCCTTCTTTGCTATCCACAGTGGCCATTTTTATAAGATAATAATAATGATGATTCAATAAATTTATCCATAGAATTAACTTATTTAAGGTTACATAGGTGGTAAGTACTAGAATCAAGGTTCAAACTCCATTCTCACTCCAGATCCAGTTTCCTTTCCATGTTGTCCTTTTTCCTTTCTTAGCATTGTGGGAACCTCACTTGTTCCATGCAGCACATGTCACAAAAACTGTCACAACCTTCTCCAAGGGGTGAGGAAGTCTGAGGATGATGAGAAAGTCCATTTCATACACCATCCTCCAGAGGGAGGGTGGGAAAGTCTGACTTAGGCACTGTCCCAAGGGAGGAATATGGAAAAGCTGCTTTAGGAATCATTCTCCAGAGGGAGAGTGGGAAGGGCATCTTTCCCTTGGACTTTCCTGCTCTTCTTTGTGAGAACTATGTGCCATGATGAAAATAAAGTGCTGAACTCTTGAATTGTGTCCTGTTTCCTTCTTTAAAGGCGTGGGATTTTGGAATTATTGGGGGATGCTAGATTCCCTCCCTTCCCCCAAGATCTTGAGTGAGAGAATCTTGTGTGAGTGTGTAGACACACTCACACAAGTTCTGGGAGACTCTAGAAGGCATATTGATAAGCTGGATTACACAGAGTGCCTGTCAAAGAAAATTTGGAGCCCAAGTTTGAAAGGGTGCCTAGGAGGTCTTCAAATGTTTATATGGGAATGAACATGTAACTAACTACATAACACACTAAGGGTTGCAAAGTGCTCTACATATATTATCTCATTTGATCTCATTTAACAATAACTCTGTGTAGTAGGTACTCTTATTACCTCATTTTGCAAATGAGGAACCTGAGACCGACAAGTTAAATGATTTTTCCAGGGTGACAGCTATTAAG